CGCACAAGTTTTATTTTTGTAGTGTATCTGTAATGTTCGTTGCGTATTTGTTAGCTTGGATTATATTTTACTGCGTCTTTCTGCATTTCTGATGCGTATTTCACGCAGATACGCAGCTTATCTGGAGCTCTGCTGACTATAAAAGTCCAGTTTCCACCCTTGCCAAACTGGGCTGGTATTATGGGTTTACATTTTTGCTGGACTAACGAGTCTATGCATAGTCCAATCACAATCGTGCAACTGAATCAAAATCTGGTTCGTAAACTGTCATGCAGATGTCATGCAATGCATGTGCACCGCCAACTTGTTGTCAACAGATATTTTCGAAATCTTTACATGTTTTGGCTCCAGGTGCTCCTGTGATTCGATGCACTTTGCGATGTAAGAATCGTTTTATTACAATATAGATATTGATTATCGATCAGATCGTCTTGACTGGGCGCCGCCATTTTGTTTGAAGCCAATGCAAGTGATATGAGAGGTGGAATCTGATTGGTCCATAGGAGAGGCATAGAAAGGACATAACTCGTAATAGCCACTGGAGGCGCTACAGTCGAGCCAAGGAGCTCCAACCTAGTTCGGCAAGGGTGGAAACTGGACTTTTAAAGTCGGTTAACTCTCTTGCCTCGGGAAGATGATTGATAATATTCTCAGACTATATTATACACAATGCACATATTGCACATTAACCTCTCTTGATTCATATTTCAATCCTGTATCGATATGTATTTTAACTAGTATATTATCATGATTATGCATTGTTTTCTAAACTTCAAACCGATCAAAAGCCTATGTTCTAGTCTTTTCTAACTGGTGTTGATACTCCAGTTTTATCTGACATAAAGAATTGATTGCAATGAGACATTTTTATTTTCAAATATGAGACCAGATGTTCAGGAATTTTGAAGCTTTTTTATTAGTGCTTATTCCCAATGAAATTACCACAAATTAAGTATTGCGATACCTATTGTATCATGAACAAAGTGTCATGATACAGTCATATCGTGACATCCCTAGCTATAGGTAGTCTGTTAGGTTACCCAAGAGGGTATGTAAGTCCACATCATTCGAAGTCAGTTTATTCCTACTACCATTTAGTCGCAGTATACTTGTTTGTTTTAATTTGGGCTTAACTTGATGAAAATCGCCAGTGGCTGAGGGATGGCATCAATCCTGCTGGGGAACCGTGCAGGTAGCAGAAGTATTGTAAGTCCCCACGGTTCCTAGTATGGTGGCCTACCTTTAGTTGCTGGCGATCCCTAGCCCCGTTTTTATAATGTATTGTTATTTATCGTGATATCTTTTTATGGTTCCATACTAGTCTTAAACTATACATCTTGTTATTTTACTGTTCTTTGACAACGGGTTTTATAATAAAATTGAATGTATTATTACTGTCTAACTTGATTTAGTCACGATATGGCTGAAATATTGCTGATGTGACTATAAATATTCACTCACTCACTCACTCACTGTTGGGTTACAGTTCTGTAGCTCGCTGTACAGTTTGATACCTTAGCTTTTCCAGGACCCATGGGTTCAAATCCCATTCTTATCAGCCATTGGTTCAAATCCCAGGTTTTAGCCAATTATCATCCTGTAATTATCATCTGATTATCGTATGTAAGCGTGTTTGTTATACCTCTGAAAGAATCTTGCAATTCCATTGGTTAATCCATACCACATGATAAACAATACCTCACGATGTTGACTCATCAGATGGTCAGTATTGACCTGCCATTTTGAAGGGCAAGTAAAGTGAACATAGCAACTTTGCAGATTTTAATACTTTAAGGTATACTTAATCTCATCTTCCCTAGGTAAGGGAGTTAAATGACTATTAAGTCCAGTTTCCAACCTTGCCAATCTTCACTTGAATTTCGTGGCTCGATCGTAGGGCTACCAGTGGCCATTATGAGTTATGTCCCTTCTATGTCCCTTCTACTGACCAATCAGATTCCACCTCTCGCATCACATGCATTTGCTTCAAACAAAATGGTGGCGCCCAGTCAAAATGATCTGATAGATAATCAAGATCTTTTTTTAATAAAACGGGTCTAACCTCGCAAAGTGCATCAAATCACTTGAGCACCTAGATTAAAAACATAAAATCGTTTCGAAAATCTCTGTCAACGTCCAGTTGAAGCACACATCCTGCGCAAATCCTGTATTTGACCAACACCGGCACAGCAGTTGCCGTGTTGTTTACAAGACAGATGTTGATTTCATTGCACAATTTTGATTGGGCCATGCATAAACTCGTTAGTCCAGCGAGAGTATAACCCCGAAAATTCCTGCCTAGTTCAGCAAGGGTGGAAATTTGACTTTAATAGTGCCCTGGAATATGACTTCATCACAAATGCTTGACCAAAATTTAATTTGAAAATAGGAAAAATCGCAAAAAAGATGTTAAAAAACAATAGGAAACCATCCCCCCAAACCAAAAAATTCCGCCAGTAAAGGTAATTCAGTATTCTCCCAGGTGGGGTTAAAACAGGTTCCCACTGCTTGACGCGCTGCACAATTTTAGCGATCGGGATAGTGCCCAGTCTGCCTGGTGGTTTATTAGGGGTCTTCCTACTTGTCCACAGCATCTATTGTTATGGGTACAAATTCACATGAGCTTGGGGTGGTCGGGTAGCCTAGTGGTTTAAGCATTTGCTCGTCACGCCGAAGATCCGTGTTCGATTCCCGACATGGGTTAAATGTGTGAAGCCCATTTCTGGTGTCCCCTGCCGTGACATTGCTGGAATATTGCTAAAAGCGGCGTAAAACCGTACTCACTCACTCACTCACATGAGCGTGGTGATGGGTAAGTTTCTTTGTTATTTAATGCCACACTCAGCAACATTCCAGCTATATGACGGCGGTCTGTAAATAATCAAGCCTGGACCAGACAATCCAGTGATTGACATCATGAGCATCGATCCACACAATTGGAATTGATGACATGCATCAACCAGGTTAGCAAGCCTGACCACCCGATCCCGTTAGTCGCCTCTTGCGACAAGCATAGTCGCCTACGGCAAGCATGGGTTGCTGAAGCCTTATTCTACCCCGGACTTTCACGGGTCGGTGATGGATAAGATACAAAAAGGGGATTAAGGAGGGAATTTCACATAAGACAAGTAATTGTTGAATATCTCACAAAATATATCGACACTAATTGTAAAACTGAACTGGTGTATGTGATGCAATCTGACTGTTGGAGAAATGTTAATAAATGGGATTTGATCCCCTAAATGTTGATATTTGAAACCTCTGGCTGATGCAATCAATAACGCCCACAAATCTGAAAACATGACTCTCCTAAATTAGGACCAGAAATGGTTCAATCGATACACCCAAGCTAATGGAAGGCTTGAATATTCTCTTATGGTGCTTACTTTAAACAGAATGAAGGAAATTAGCTGGACATAAAGGACTTTAATGCAAAACAATAGAGATCTTTGTGTTGCAGTTCAACTATTTTCTGTGAGACTTTTTGTCACTTGGTCCGCGGTAGGGTAGCCTAGTGGTTAAAGCGTTCGCTCGTCACGCCGAAGACCCGGGTTCGATTCCCGACATGGGTACAATGTGTGAAGCCCATTTCTGGTTTCCCCCGCCGTGATGTTGCTGGAATATTGCTAAAAGCGGCGTAAAACCATACTCAGTCAGTCAGTCAGTCAGTCAGTCAGTCAGTCAGTCTTGTCTTACGGAAGCCTGCACCACAAGCATGCTTAATGTGACATGCCAGCACCTCTGGGACTTGGGTTGTAATTACAGACTTTGTGGCAATAAGATTTGTATCTCGGTGGTTCGAATGTTTTCAACCCTGATTCATATCATATTAAAGAGATGTATTTTATCATCAAAGGGAATGACGAGAGACCTTCCAAAAAACAGTTGAGTCCAACAGTGTGGTTTACATGAGTGAGATGTGGCTTGCATATCAGGAAATAATATTTTACAAATTGTTTTCATACCATATAGCATGTTCCTCATATACATGCAAAAAGGCAAAAATATATCCTGTTTCAGGTAACCTGACTGACCCATTGTTTACAAATGTTTTCATGACAGCAGGAAACAGCTTTCAAGAAATCCATATGTTACATTAGGAAACAGATTGGATGTTTCTGCATATTATTGTTGCTGAGCTATTTTGGCCAACAAATTTGAGAACATTGCAACTTATATCAGTTCTAAAACATGCCATCTTTTGTAAAATATATATGTTGGCCGAATATATACATGATCGTAGGCCATGCTAGTATTATGACACATGGTATGATTCACCTCTATTAGTGAATTGGTCAGTGATGGCCAATTTGATTTGAAGACTACAAGGGGCGTTCAATAAGTTTTGCAACTTCAATATATAACCAAGTCGCAGAATATCTTTTGCACTTTTAGTTTTCAATATAATCTTCTTTCACCTAAATAAACTTATTCCATTTGTCCTTCAAGCTTTTAATACCACTTTTATAGAAATCCGCAGATTGGCCCTCTAACTACGCCTCTGTGGCAGCCTTTATGTCCTCGTCATCCTGGAAGCGTCTTCCACGTAGGGCAGATTTCATTTGCTGGAACAGGAAATAGTCACCGGGGGCTAAGTCTGGGCTGTACAGTTAAATAACCCACCCTACAGCTAAGGGTGAAGTTGCAAAACTTATTGAACGCCCTTCGTATCATGTTAGGGTTTTAGCTCTTTGAGAATCTCAAGTCTTTCAGCACACAGTCCACTGACCCTTCTGAAGCAGGCTGTCACATATTAGTTGACAAAGTAATGGGAAATAAAGATGGGGTTTTTTTTTGCAACAAACAGACATTGCAACAATTTCCTGGGGAGAAATTCTTTGACTATCAGAACATTCATAAGCACAATACATGGGAAAAAACACTACAACTAACGCAATGTTGCTATCATGTCGATGGAGTTGCTGAACCAGGTTTCTCTGTATTTTGTGTATATTCCAAGAGATTGATGCATTTTAATTGTTTTCTTTCCCATTTTTCAGTTCATCTTTGCCAACAAGACCCATTTCAACCTGGCAATGGCCTGGGCTAGTGATAAGGACAAAGGGGTAAGTGTCATGTCAACCTGTGAAAGGTGCCGCTATTGTTTCTTCTCCGAATCTTTTGATACCTCCAAGTATGTATATACTTTTATCACCGATTGAGAATGTTTGAATGAGGCTCAAGATCGAAAACGCAGGTTTTGGAAAAGCAGGACAGCAGCTGAAGAAACCATACTATGTTTGTGTCTCTCTGGAATCCTCATTCAAATGTCCAAATGTTGCATGGATTTTGTATAAGAGCAACTTACATGGCTAATGTGAGGCTTACTAGCCCAAGGCCCTGAACAGGACTATTAGCATGATTAAGCACTGAAATGATAAAGGCATTAGTGTCTGTTATATAGTGCTGTAGGCATAGATTTTTTTCCCAATCGTTATATGCACAAGGATAAACCTGCTGGGGCTCTGTTTTCTGTACCTGCTCCATTAAACTGATTATAGAAGGTTGTGCCCAAAGAAAATGAGTCTCATTCCTCTTTAGGCTCATGTTAATTTTGAAAGGGAGAGTGACAGAAGGGGAGCCAGATTCTGACATCTTCCCGAGGCAAGAGAGTTAACTGACTTTAAAAGTCCAGTTTCCACCCTTGCCGAACTAGGCTGGAATTACTGGGCTTGACCGTAGCGCCACCAGTGGCTATTACCAGCTATGTCCCTTCTAAGCCTCTCCTATTGACCAATCAGATTTCACCTCTGGTATCACTTGCGTTTACTTCACACAAAATGGTGGCGCCCAGTCAGGACGATCTGATCGGTAATCAAGATCTATATTGTGATAAAACGGGTCTTACATCGCGAAATGCAACAAATCACCCGAGCACCTTGATTAAAAACATGAAAAGATTTGGAAAATATCTGCTGACAACGAGTTGGTGGTGCACATGCTTTGCAAATCCTGCAATCGACCGAAATCTGCATGACAGTTTATGAACCGGATTTCGATTTCGGTGCGCGATTTTGATTGGACTATGCATAGACTCGTGAGTCCAGCCAAAATGTAACTCCATAATACCAGCCTAGTTTGGCAAGGGTGGAAACTGGACTTTTATAGTCAGTTGACTCTCTTGCCTCGGGAAGATGGATTCTGAAAGCATGTGGTCATCAGCCAACGAGTTGTATTCCTTGCAAGTGTGAATCTATACTTTATGTCACCGTTATGAAATTATAAGAGTTTTGCTACACATGCAACGCAGGGTTCGAAATTAACATAAGTCTGCTAGTCCGAGACTAGGAAAATTCAGGAAGGGCTAATGACATTCCCTTGTGGACTACCACTTTTATCATTAGGTATATTTGGCAAATAGTGAAAATAAAAATTTATTTCTGAGTTTTCTTAGTGTAGTGCTCAACCTTTGCATGCCAGTCACCACTTCTGATTAGGGAAAGGGTTACTTGATAGTGTCTGGTTGGTAAAAGTACTGATACTATTCTTCTGATGTGTTACACAAGATTTACAACCGAGTGGTGTTGTGGTGTGAGCATGCTGGTGTTAGCTTACGAATACTTCCGTGTTACTTTGTTCTGTTTATCCTTGTGGTGAACTTGCTGATAGTAACTCGGCCTCATAGCCACCAAAGCTTGTTTTGATTTCATTTCCCTGTGCACAGTGGGAGTTCTGGGGCAGGATAGGTCCGTAGTAGTGGATTATAGTACATGATGTATTGCCTTAATTCAGTGGACCGCCTCCGTGGCTTAGTGGACAGGGTGTCTGCCTGGAGAATGGAAGGTTGGTGGTTCAATTCCCTGGCCGCGTCGTACCAAAAGACATTGAAAGATTGTACTTGTTGTTACCCTGCCTGGTGCTCTGCCTCGGCATTAGGGAGATAATATATAACCTTTTATTCCTCCATAAAGAAGAGTACAAAAAAGCAGAAAATAATAGATGAACATTTATCAGAACAACATATCATTTTGCATTAAGTATGCAGAATGGTAATGCTGATATATTTAGAGTTAGTTAAACACCATTTTAAACATTGGCTTGACATATTTAACACACACTCTTGCAAAGTCATCAGCATCTTTGTCACATAGTCTGTAATCTGTTCTGCAAGACAACATGCATTCAGTGAGCTTTGCTGAGTCCATACCATGCAGGTAGCAGCTAAAGTCAACATCACCGATATTGATCAACTCCATCCAGAGCTGATCCCGAATGTCACACGTACATTCACACTCAACAACTGCATGTGTCACTGGATCACGATACACAAGACCACATTTGTGGCACAGTCCTGTATCACACATGTCCTTTGCGGTGGCACACGTCCCTATCACTAAGTTAGAGTTCAGTCTCAGAGTTGGGTCGCCTAAGGAGATCTGCCAGGCTGGATGGACATCATATAGTCGATGGATTTGACTAAACATCTGGACTTCTGGATCAGCAGCAAGTCTCTGCCTCCAGGCAGAGACATGGTGAGAACATAGAGCTTTACTCACTGATCGTTTCCATCTCTGTTTCCCTATGAAGATACCATTCCGCAGGAACGACAGCAGAGGATCCATGAGATTGTATTTGGATAACAATCTGATGACGTCTGGAACAAATCCTGATGATGAGGTTGTCAGTTGGTGAATGTAACACGTCAGTCTGGTCATGAACAGCTGATGAGGCAGGAACTTCCGGTTCATGTTGATGATGCGCTCCAGGAAATACAACTTTCTTTGATCTATATGGTATTCAATGGGTAGAACACCAAGTTGACTCAAGCAGACATCAGTACGGGTCAGTCGCGGCAGGTCTTGGATAGATTTTATGACATATCTGAACGACCTCTCCAGCATCAGTATCTCTACCTTTGATAGATTTGACCACAGTTCTGATCCATACAGAGTCCTTGGGAGGTACATATTATTTACCACAATCAAGCTGGTTATAGGATTCAGGAACCTAGGATGAAAACCTCGTGAAATCAGCGTTCTTACCCCTGACCTGAGGTTGACTGAAGCTTGAGTAACATGTTCAAGGGATGACATGTTGCCAGAGAGTACCAAACCAACATGTCTGATGGTGTTCGTCCATGGAATGGGTTCACTGTACAGCTTCAGTTCAGATCTGTGTTGAGTCCCCTTGCGGCAAGGGAATGATACAATCTCACTTTTGGAAGATGACAATATGTATCGCCAGTCACAGCTGTAGTCCTCAGCTTTTTTTAACATTAATTTCAATGCTGACACTCTTGATGAAACAAGGGCTACATCATCGGCTTGCGTTGGAGAACAGGTATTCAAATCCATAACCACGGCACCAAGTCTCGACTTCGATAGTTTCTGGAGGAGGGCGTCAATGTACAAGAGGTACAACTTCCCCGACAACACACCACCTTGTCTTATTCCCTGTTTCATGGATACGGGTCTAGAGCACATTGAGTCCACACACACACGGCTAACCATCTCTGTGTACATGTTGTCAAGCACTAGCCATAGAGACCCCTTGATTCTGAACTCGAATATCTTGTACTTAAGACCACCATGCCACACCGTGTCAAATGCCTTACACGTATCTAGGAAGGCAACATGGACATCTTCATTCTGCTCATGATAGTGGTGGATGGTCTCTTGTAAGTTGAATGTTGTGTGAAGGGCAGACAATCCGATCTGGTACGCCATTTGTTGAGGGTCGGGAAATTTGTCAGACTGATCTAAACCTTTCAACCTTGGTAATAGCAGCATTTCAAAGACCTTGCTCAGTACAGGCAACAGGGATATACCCCGATAGGGAGCCTTCAGTGCAGATCGAGAGATATCTGCAGGCTGTGATTGGAGAATATTGTGTAAGATTTTTATGTCTTTTAAATGTCCATCCATCCAGTTATTAAAACTGACCATGGTTTTCTATATTTAGTACTGTCTTTTTCAACATGATGACTTATGCTGAATGTGACCACAGCTATTTTCAAGTAGGTGACATTTGGTGTGAAACTAGGGGTGGTGTGTTTAGCTTCCTGTACTCGGAAAAGGAGCTGGCTAAGCTAGTCATTTTTTTTGTTTTTATTGCTGCTCTAACTTCTAAGGCCAACCTGTGCACACACGCACAGGTAATAGCTGTTAAATGCTTAGTTCTTTTTTAAAAAAATATAACGTTACAATAGAAGTCTATGGGAAAACATTTGGTTGTGTGTAACCTACAGGGGCCTGCTAAGTAAAATGTTTATGGTAACATTTGTCATGCTGACTGCCTCTAAAATTAATAAAATACAACCAGGTTTATCTCTATCACTAAATACACACAGCAATACATAACATATTATATTGTTGCTCACAAAACATATCAGAGAGTGGTGAGTTGAGGGTTTAATAACTGAACACATCAGTTGTGTGAAACTTAGCATAAATCCCCAGCATTCATGTCATTTAATTAAACCATATTGTCTCCACCTAGACGGAATGGGCAGCTTTCCAATGTCCACATAGCCGTTATAGCTATATTAAAATATGAAACATGCCCTGATCAATATACGAAATATACATACGGACAAGGACAGATCCAGATCCAGAGTAACAGCTGTTTGTTGCCATCTAGACTTGCACAAGACTCTAATAATAATTATTAGTATTAGATAAGTAAATATTAGTTCTAGATTATGTAAATAATAAGAACAAGTTGTCCCAATAAGAGACTGGAGTCCTTACTACATGTACTAGACTTCCCTATTAGGAGGATAGAATTACTACACATCCATGGACTTTTCTTTCAGTACAGCCTTGGAGAAATTCCCCCGAGTCAATGATAGTCATGTGACATAGCTCAAGTTAACCCCAGCTCAATCAAACAGCTATATAATTCTATGAATTTGGAAGAATTTGATTTAATTTTTTTTACAATGACATATTAAAACATGTCAGGAAGATAGATTCGTTGGAGCAATATCACTCGGGGCACATGTGGTTTTATGAGTCCCTGGTTAGGTTTGAAACCTAACGTGGGATTTATATTACAACTTTTATTGTTCCTACAGCTCATAAAGAGCAGTTGTCACGGCCGGGTAGTCTGTTATGTCATCCATTAA